GTTGGTAAAAAGAATAATCTAAGTTCACATACGTTTTCTTCGTAATTTATGTGCTGTACTTATGAGTACATTTTGTTTTTGTATTTCTTTATGCAATGGATACCAGGATTCTCTTTAATGTATCTATCGGAACCATTTCTAATCCATCCGAGGGCTCCAACAACAACTGGAATTATTGATGTCTTCATATGCCACATTTATTAGCTTTCCACTTCAAGAACCTTGTATTTTGAAACTTTTTGAAGATGTTCAAAGATACATTAAAATCTTCAGGGACTGCCATGTCAATAAGAAATCAAATTATGTTATTGTAGTCTTTGATCACCATGTCTGGGGGTTTGGATTTGATTGTTTTGTCTTATGAGATTCCATCAAATTGTTACAGGTTCAATCTCTGTAACCGGGTCTGGGTAGTGTTCATACAAATTTCTTATAGATTCCTTCCTGTAAAAGATGCATACAGTGCAGATATTGGCTCACTCACTGACGCTGTGATTTATATTCAATAGGTGTTAACACTATGCAATCTAATGGCTAAGATTGTCACTTGTTTCTGGATATTTGTCACACAATCTGCATTGCGGATTAACAAAATTTCCCATTATGTGACCTTGGTAATTTCGCAAGCATTAGTCCTGCACAGCAAGAATAAAAAGTTCGGTTTCAGCTTTTAATTCTGCACTGCATATACATATATATATATATATATATATATATATATATATATATATATATATGAAGAAATATATTCTTAAGGTGTGCTATATTTATGGAATAACGTGCTCAATATCGTGTGTAAATTTAAAAGTGAACATTGAAGTCAACACTTAGAGGCGACAATCTGTTTCATGCTAGATGCAATCGTGGCCTGACGATTGCGTCTAGCATGAAACAGCCTGTCGCCTCTAAGTGTTGACTTATATATATATATATATATATATATATATATATATATATAATAATTTTTATAAAAAAATTATAACATAAGTATGTTATAAAATCACAACAAAAATAGCCATTTTGTTTCAACACACTCTGTCTTATCAAGTGATGATGTTGAAAATAAATTAAATGGTTTTAAAAGTTTCAGATTAATTAACGATCCTACACTAGGGGGAAACATTGTTACAAAAGCTAGAATAACCAATCAGAAACCAAGTATAGAAACATTCAAAAAGCTTGACAACGAAGTCATGTTATAATAGCTATTCAGATCTTTAAAATACGTGTAATATTAAAAATAATTTATACTAACCAATAATTATAAAATTATATGATAAAATTTAATATTAAAATTAAAAACTGGCAATTTTAAAATCCAAATTTAATCACTATTAAGTTCAAAAACTACAAAATTATTGAGAAAAGAAAAAAACATATATGTTTATTCAATTCATTTCTTCATTGAAATTACGTTCGACAAGACGCTACAATATATCCGGTCATTTGACAATACATGTATATATATTTTTTTCTTTTCCCTTTCTTTTCATTTTTTATTTTAAAGTGTGTGCATGTGGTCTTAAACTCACGCACAAAACAACAAAAACACAATCAGATTATAATATATAAGCACCCAGACATAATTAGATACACACACACACACACAAAGGGGGGGGTTGAGACATGAACATCTCTACAGCCCTTTATGAAAAAGGAGACGTGGAAACCAACACTTATACACACACACAGTTAAATGTGAATACACTCTACATACACATAGACACCGATAGATACACATACATACATCCACAGACAATGACATAGACAATCAGATATCACAACCAATAAATATTTCAGACTTAAAGTATCATTAAATAAATGCTAACCACTTATTAAATTATAACTTAAGGGAGCAAATATACAAACATAAAAATGGTTAAAAATAATATTATACACATATATATATATACAGAGAGAGAGAGATTCATAACAAAGTGGAAACAGTTTCAGTGTGATTCATTTCGCCCTTTCGGACTTCATCTGACAAAGTTTGTTTACATTGATTCGATAGGCAGGTGCACGAACGACAGATGCTGAGAATGTTAGATTAAAATAATTCATATGTTTTTGGTATATAATCAAGTCATTTTATTTCGATTCTTTTCATCTTTATGAATCGTTTTCTGTTTTAATTAACGTAACATTATTTATGTCAAAATTCTGGTCGGTCTTGTTACAGTGAGCAACTTCCGCGTTTCATGTGTTGTTTTTATTTAAAATGACCCTTTGTGTTCATATAACGGTTTCTGTAGTTTCTCCAATATATTATTTCAAGAAACCATTACAATTAATTTTCTCCTTTAGACGTAGTTGTGACAAATTTTATGTTGAGCTTAGATAAATTATTTTATAGTTTTAGTTGTGATACAATTAGTGGATAGAACAATATATTTTTTGCTTCGTTGAGTTTGTCAGCAACGGATTCTTTCCATTTTGGAATATTTTATGTTCATTTTGCTCCGCATTGAATAAGAATTAGAGCATTGAAGGGTTTTAA